CGGTAACTCAACGACAACATAAGTGAACTATACATGAATGTTATTGCGATAGAGATAGAGAGAAAAATATATAGGCTTGTCAACTGAATTCTAAGGTAATTGAATTGGCTTAAGTGGACTTTTGACAAGAAGAAGAGAACTGTGTAGTGTTTAAGATACAACTATGATATCCACAGTGTAAAGAATTTTGTACATACGTTCAACTTGTTTCTAATATATATATATATCATTTTAAAAACGAATGAAGTGCGTGCTGTTCGTTTATTGTTGAATTTATCGCCAACAAGTCACAGACACCTACTGTAGAAGAATCCTTAGTCCAACACACCAATATACTTACAGTACTTACATACTACATTAATATATATATATGTGTGTGTGTAAATTCCTGAGAGGTATCTTATACTGCCATTAACAAACACTTGAAGCTTTCACTAATTAATAGAGGTACTGTTACTGCCATTAACAAGCATTTGAAGCCTTCAACTGATTGCTAACCAGAGTCGAAAACAGTTAGTAATATAATAGGTCATTTTTCAGTTTAGAATATTATAGCCTTATATAGCTTTAAATTTTAACTAACTCAGTTTTGTAGTTTTGAATTTCTTGTTTCAATATTTCTTGTAACATTAAAACTTTCCATATTACTATAGTTAGCTAGGTTACGTAAAAATCTACCCCAACTTGTCTTTATAAAATTATCTTTTTTTATCATACTTGTTTGTTTTCCTGTTTATTAGCTTGTGCGCTAGCAATAGCAAGCGCAGAGAACGCGTATATTCGATTCGATTTTAATACTTATTTCTGCCAGCCTACCCTCGAAGCTTAATTACATGCCCAAAGTAGGGCATCGCCAGTTATATATATATATACTGGTATTCTTTTCGGTACGAGAAAGGAATCATTGGAACCCCAGACGAAAGAGTTCTGTGAAAGAATCAGAACAATAAGGTTTATCATTGTTTTCTGTACGCTTGTCTGGAAAAGTTACTTACTTACTTAAATAAATAGTGAAATTTTGATTCACTCCATAAACACGTATTTAGCGATTTAGGCGGCTTTATAAGTACAATAAGTGTTAGTTTTGCTCAGCTAATACTGTGAAATTGTCATTGCTAATATTCAGACATTTCAAAGGTGATTTTAAAATGGCGATTTTATTACCGCCATTTTGTTTCATCACGATATCTACAAAGTTTTCATGGTTTGGTGTCAATAAGAGAAATTCAAAAAAAAAAATCACACTGTTCTTTGAAGTGAAAAGTTTCTTCCTAAAGAAATTAAAATTAAAATCGGGTGAAATTTGAGCCTCCAGCTCTACCGGGCAGATAATTAGTCAACCAAGATACCAGTCCAGGTTTTCATATTATAATTCAGCACATTGGCTAGAAATTTGTAACTTGTTAATTAAACATGTTGACTTTGTTGATGTTTTGTTTATTCCTCTGTTTGAATCCACACTCGTCGAATTAAAGTTTTAGTTTTTCTCTCTTTCTGATATTTCTGAAATTTGCTACGCCAATGATAACAAAAATTAGTACAAAAAAGATAACCCAAAGGCTCCAACGGTATTTTGCTTTCTCCAGAAAGACAACAATACAAAAAGTTTGTTTGTTTGCTATGAATTTCGCGTTAGCCGTCCCTGTTTATATCATATTATCATAATGCCCTCCCACGCACAAGGATATCGACGTAGGCTAAATGTAGCTAATGAAGTGTTTGTTAGTCTGTTATGAATTTCGCGCAAAGCTACACGAGGACTATCTGCGCTAGCCGTCCCGAATTTAGTAGTGAAAGACTAGAGGGAAAGAAGCTAGTCATCACCACCCACCGCCATCTCTTGAGCTACTCTTTTACCAACGAAGAGTGGCTGCAAGGGTGAGCATGAATGGTGGAACGGGGATTCGAACCCGCGACCCGCAGGTTGTGAGTTGAGCGCCCTAACCACCTAGTCATGTCAGGCCACTACAAAATCTATGAAATAGAAAGGATTAACAATTTAAAGGGTTAATTAATTTCTGGTTAATTGCCAGAAGGTATTTTCTACTATAAGTATATCCATGGACGTCCGCAGAACTTTTCCCAGGGTGGGCAAAGTCTTCCAGGAGGGGCAAAAATTCATATACATATGCTGAATGAACAAATAAAAGTATTATGTTTCTCATATTCTAGGTGGACAAGTGCCCCTTGCCCCCCCCCCCTGCGGATGTACATGAATTGTATATCACTTCGACGTTACGAACAGTAAAATAGTTGGGGGGTGTTAATTTTCATATTCGACTTGAGTTAAATATACGGCATTATCAAAAAATTAATATATACTGCCCTAATAATCAAGTTTCATTATTCATTATTCTTTACAACCATGGCCCGGCATGGCCAGGTGGTTAGGGCGCTCGACTCGCAATCTGAGGGTCGCTGGTTCGAATCCCCGT